CATATTTGATAATTGTGATTAGATGTCTTATTTTTTCCTTTTTCATAATTTATTATATTAAAAATATTAATAAAAGTCCAAAAACACTCGTTTATAGTGTTGCCATCTTCTAAATATTTTCCTGTTTATTCTGAGATTGCTTTTATATATAGTGTTTTTCAACTACAATCACAATACAACAGAAATCCTAAACAAACCCTAAGTTTTTTTTTTCGTCCTCCGAGAGGAGCAGACCCTAAATTGTTGTTTCTTTAACTTATGAATACTATTATTTTTTAACAATTTTTAAATATGTTATGAATTTTTTTTTTGAACAGTGTGAAATCTTTTTTTCTTGGGGGAAGGGGAAATGGGGGGGACTTGGGATTGATCCCAAGTCCTTGTAGTCCTACGTACGTCCCTTGCAAGGGGTGGCCATTTGGCCACCGAGTGCGGGACTTTAAATATGTTATGATAATAAAAAAAAATTGATAATTTTGTATAAATTTCTATAATTTAGGAGTGAAAAAAAGTTTACAAAATCTACAATTAGGTAAAATCGGTTGACATAAATGCAGAAAGTCCAAGGGATCTAGTCTAATACAAAACTCCCTTGGGCCCTCTGAGCTCATGCTTACGGAGTGGGTCCAGAATATTACCTATTCATTTCTTTTTTAGTTTGTGCGCTGAAGGCATATCTTGGAGTCAATTTTTTTCCCGAAAATTATGTAAACCCTTAATCTCATTTATCCAACTCCATTATCGTGAGAGACGCATTTAAAGACTAATGTACCAATGTTTTTACGAACAATCTTGAGTTCGTTGAGTATTAGCCTTATACTTTAATCTTGAACTTGGCCTAATATACACTTCTACTAACAAGTTCAATAGACTTTTTAACACATCTATGGATACAGAGTTTGGCATTGTTAAGAAGCTAAGATTGGAATTTTACCTTTGATTTTCCCGATTCTTTTATCTTTCTGAAAAATTAAAATACCAATTTAGTCCCTCAATTTTTAGATTTGTATTAAAATTATTTTTCAACTTTAAAAAATATCAAAATTATCTTTGAATTTTAATTTTTAATATAAAAAAGTCCTTCAATTAACAAAAATATCACATAATTCATTATTTTATTACAAAATCAATTCTTTTCTAAAATAGTAATGACATATAAAATTAAATAATCATATTTTATCATCGTGATATGTTTATATTTACATATCAAATTAATATATAATTAAAGTTAAAAACTAAATTATTAGTATTTGTAATCAAAGTTCACAGACTAAATTGGTACTTATTTTAAAATTTAAGGACTAAATTAGTATTATTTTTAAAGTTTGAGGATGATTTTGGTATAAGAAATTAAAATTTAGAGACAATTTTGATACTTTCTAAAGTTAAAAGATAATTTTAATATAAATTTAAAAATTGAGGTACCAAATTGATACTTTAACCTTTTCACAATGTATGAACTAGTGGAAGTTAAAAATATTCCCATTCAGCAACGGAAGAAACAGTTTGATAAGGGTGATGTTGTAATTTCGCCTACTTTTGAAGCTAGTTAATGAGATATAGGCTCTGAACAACAAAAAGGTATTGTTAACACATCCAGCTTGCCCCTGGGTGTCAGGAAGCCTCTACCATTTCAAGGGGATGAGATTTTTTTTTACAGTAGAATCAGTTATAAAAATATACATTTTTCATTATGAGTTGCACTTATATCTAAAATTTAATTAGTTATTATCCGCCACAAATTCTAAGTTATTAAAATTAATAATAACTAATTTTATAATTGTTACAAAAATTTATGATTTTAATGATAGAAAAAATAAACACAATTATTAACTTATTTGTAACAATTTTGTACATTACAACTAAAATTATTTGTATCAAAATAATTAAACAAAAAAATACCTTATTTGTAACCTTTATATGTTGTCACAAAAACGATGTCCTTTAATGTGACAAAAAAAAAAATTATCACAAACTTATTTGTGGTAAAATTTTTAAGTCACTAATAATTTTATCTCAAATTAAAAAAATTAATTCCTAATAATGAAATTTCAAAAATTTTTAATACAAATTAATAAAATTAACTACTACAATTCTATAATTTATTTAAAATACATTTATTTTATTTAATAATTATAATAACTACTAATAACTACTAATTAAAATATATTCTATAGGCAAAAAATAAAATCATTTGGCCTAGGCGGAAAACTTCAGAACTTAAAAGATGCGTCGAACATATTTTAAGCCTTTTTTTTATATAAAATATTAGTAAATTAAACCTTTTGTTTTTAAACAATATGGGATTAGATACTTCTTTACATGGAGTGTTAGTAAATTTTACTTTTTATTGATGAGTGATGTGGGATTTTTAATTTTTTCATTCCATAAGTTTACTCATGCACCTATAAAAGAATAAAAGATATATCAAATAAAAACAATAAAAAAACTCATCAAATTAAATGCAAATGTCATTCTACAAGAAAATCTCAAATTGACTATTATATATACTATTATTCATATATAATTTAACATATAGTTTGGCTGCAATTTGATCTTGGTACAATTTTTTATACATGTTGTCCCACAGAACTATAGTACTGTTGCTCCACTAGAATGGGAATCTAATTCCAATTATAAACATTATTTATCTTGCACTTTGAATCAATTTATTTTACAACGGGAATGACATTGGACTGTTGGAGTGGAATTATAAGTTAATATGCCTAAGTTGATGAAGAACATGTATAATCTTTGTTTTGAGACTGTTAAGACAAAGTAAGAACAGCCTCTACTTGATTTGTAATCATTATATATATATATATATATACACACACATATACGGCATATGACAATCCTCATGAATTTGTTGTATCCAAAGAAAAAATAATATTAAAATTTAATATATTGTATATTTGTATTTAAGTTATGATCATCAAATTAAATATAATTTCACTTATAAAGTTCTTGGTACAAGTATACCATAAAGAAATGGTGTTCCTATATATGATTATGTGAAAGAAAGCTATCCTTGGTACACACTATTAGAAAACAGTTTTTAATAGATAGAAAACAATTTTTAATCAATAGAAAATTTTATCAGTTATACAAGAAATTATGTCAATTATACTTATAATTGATAGACGTAATTGATGATAAAATTGTCGAATAAATGTGCATTGAAAATAAGTATAATTGACAGAAATGTTTTATGTCAATTATATATGTATAATCGATAGACATGGCTGTCGATTATACATGTATAATTGATAGATTATAATTGACAGATATTGCTATCGATTATGTTGGTATCTGATATAAAAAAATTTAAAAAAAATAATTCTATGTTTATTAATTAAATTATAAACATTAACCAAAATATATGTAAAA